AAAATAAGTTTGCCACTATTTATAATTAAATAATATAATAATTTAAAGGAAAAGTAGAGAAAATAAAAATAGGAAAAATAATAAACATTTTTTAGTAGTAAAATTGAGTGTTAAACATAAAGAGTCTGTTCAAATACTTAAAAAGTTTTTCTTCTTTAAATTTATAGATGATCTCTAAATTATAGAATATATTATTTAAAAATAGAAAATCTTTTAAAAATGCTCTTTTAATCTTTTTTTTTTTCCTTCTAAAAGGTTACACTTAAAAGTTGCATCACTTTATGCAAGAGACAACATAAAATGAAACCAGGAAAGAAATCCTCAGTGTGGTATGAATATTATTGTTAGCACATCACAGCAACTGAAAATAATTTTCGAACTGAAGCATCTGTATCATACAACACATCTTTCATCCTATAATTCAGCTAGGAAAATGCAAATGTGGAAACATTTTATTGCTTTATATTAAGTTCCACTACGAGAATTCGCTAATATAAATTAGCATGGAATTGAATATTCTTACAATTTCAATGCATTCGAGAGATTTCCAGAGCGGGGATTAAACAAAAGACGAGTTTCAGTACAAGAAACTTTCAAACAAGGAAGATCTCTGCAGCCCCCAGCTCGACTATTCTCATACATCATCAAAAATATCAATTTCCCTTTTTTTCTTCACATTTCTAGGCCTGCCATTTTCCATGATTAGTAAAAGACTTAAAATTCGAAGAGAGTCCCTGCATCTATAGTACCCGGTTCAGGGGAGTATGCATTCAACCCAGGAGGAACAGAAACTTCCAAAGCCCCTGGAACAGACTGATTCTCAAACATCCAAGTGTCAAATTGAAAGTCCAATGAGTCAGGATCTGTAATCCCGGGAAACCGGGAATTAATGTCATCTACAAGGGAAAAACTATCCTCTGGTACATGAACATACGAGTTATCTTCTGCTGGTACACTTTGAAACTGGGCATCATCTTCTTTTGCTACACTTTGATACAGGAAATTATCTGCTGGTACTGGATTTTGAAGTTGGGAACTACCTGCAGGGATCTGTTGGTTGCTTCCGCGGATAGGGGGAACCCAACTAAACCCAAAATCTGCGCAATTTGAATCAAGACCACTTTGCATTTGATTCTCTTGCTGAAAAATATTTTGTCCATTCGGTAACGAAGTAGGGTCAGTATAACCTTGAGGTTGAGATGAGATGAAACGTCCACAGGAGCTATCCATATTGCGCTGCGAGGACATTGGGGACAGTGGATGTTCAAAAGTGTTGCCTGTG